ATGTCAGCCTGCACAATTTCACGCAAATTAGATCATCACTGCCAGTAAATGCAGCTATAAGGTTTTTCTACTGTATGATCTTTTCTCATATAGAATACTGTTGCACTAATTGGTCCATGGTAAGTATTACTAGTTTAGAACCAGCAGAAACATCTTAACGCTTTTTCCCCACCCATTATCGTCTCATACTTCAAAAATACAATAGCTTAAGTTTGAAATGTAAAAAATAAATAAATGAATACATTTGCTTGTCCTATTTATAAGAACCAACATGGACTTGCTCCACCCTCATTGAGTTAAAATTGAATATCAGAATTCTTAACTCTTAATATCAATATTAAGAGTAACCAGAGCCTCTAGCAAAGGCCTCTTAGACATATAATATGTAGCAATCAGGTGTTAACAGTTAAAGGTAGTGAGATTTGGAATAATATGCCAGCTGTAATAAGAGAATTTACAATCTTTCATCACACACATCTCAAATGATGGCTACAGAGAAATCAGATCTGTGATCAGTCATTTTATGCTAATATGTCATATTTGATGTTTTATGCTTTCATATGTATTTGTTGTCCTGCACTGTTTTATTGTATTGTTCTTTGTACTGTGGATTTTATTGTTGTAATTTTATGTGTTCTTGTCTGATGGGGTGTTTTGTTTGTTTTTGACTTGCCAGGGACTACAGGAGAAAAACAGGCCTCTGGCTAATTCTGGAATATTTACAGTGATATGTTTATTAATATACTCTGTCCCTTTTAAATAAATAAATTAAAATGCCAAAGCATCTTAGTCAGATTAAAATCCGGACTTTGACAAGCTACTCCAAAATCTTTTTTTTTCTTTTTTAATGTAGCCATTCAGAGGTGTTTCAGATCACTGTTCTTTCTGTCCATAACTCAAGTGGATCCCATCAGGGACAAACTGGTGGCTGGATATTCTCCTTCAGGTTTAACGTTCTTTTAAGAAATGCTGTGTTAGTTTTAACACAAGATATATAAGGGCCACAAACTTGTAATGTATTCTTCTGTCTTGTAAGTCCACAGAAAAATTCCCCAAAAGTATGAGGTAACTTCAGTTAACATCTCAGCTTTTGATCACTGAATTGTGAAGCCCTAGTGCTGATCTGCTTATTGGTGCCTTGGCTAGATTCCCCCGCCTGTTCTTTGATTGGATACCACTCCATCCAGCACCCTCTGTTAACCAATTTTTGCTGTTCTTCGCTGGTTATTATCTCTGCCCCAGTGACTTTAGAGTCTGGGATTTCACAGTAGCACAGTTCTCCCCTTTACAAAAGCTTCCGGTCCCCTCTGATGAATTTCAAGGGACCCTCAGAGTCTTTCTGTAAAGGACTATGACATTAACATAACCATTAAGCTCCTTGTAGGTGCTCTTTGCTGACCGTTAATGGCATCCTGCAGATGGCTGAGATTCATAGGTTTACTATTGATAATATTGATCTGTCCACCACTCTACCTTTCTTGAACACCAAGGACCTTTATTATTCCAGCAAAAAATTCATTTTTGCCAATCCCATCCGTCTGTTCAGACCCTAAAGAATCCATTCAGCTGCAGGACCTTTGAAAATCCTCACATTTATCTTGCAACCCATTGAAGGACCAGAGGTCTTTGTAAACCACTTACCTACAATATGACAAAGGTTTATAATATGACAATCTAGGAATCTTTGGCTACCACATAATGTTTCAGCCTCTGGGGGCAAAGGTCAGGGATTCAGGGCTTCCCGTGCCATGTTCATGCTGAAAAGCAGTCTTCATAAATGAATTACCCAATACATACTGAAAATACAACATATCAGATGTTTAAACTCAGAAACTTGATTTGTATTTAGTAATAAATGCTCATTTTGAATGTGACACCGGCAAAATGTTTTTTAAAGACTTGGGGGAGGGTCACAAATGAAACACACCCGGTGAACCAACTCAAAATTAATTTAGTTAATTTGCAAATGGTAAGTTACAAAGAGCATCCCAGAGAGGCTGAATGTTTCACAAGTGTGTTAAATTAAGCATCATTTTTCAAAAAACAAAACATTTCACATTTTTTCACTACTCTTAGTTAAAATTGGGCTTTTTGCAAATCAGTGCAACAGTTTGTTTTTTTCTTATTCATATGCTGCTCGAAAAACAAACAAACAAGAAAAATTTGTAGCAGAGTGTAAATGAAACAGATCTTAAACACGACCCAGGATTTTAAAGATTAATGCTAATATTTGGTCATTTAAAAATCCCAAAACAAGACACAAAAATAAACAGAATGCTCTGATTTGTTAAACTGAATTATTAAATTTTTTGTTTACACCCTGCTTGAATCAGCTGATTGTTGTTTGTGGTACTGCCAACAGGGAAGCTGCAGTTATTTGCAACGACAACACTCATAGCATGGTTGAAGTGTGCTTTCCGTCTCTTCTTTACTTTTCAAATTTTCATTTATTGGCCATTATACCATCAGATAATATGAGCCCATCAATACATCAGTCTGGCTCTAATCAGTAGTGCTAAAGTAAAAAAAAAAAAAAAAAGTAAGCTCAAATACGCTAACTCCTCAATAGAGCTAAGGGAAACATGCCTATGTTACATCTAAACTGGACTATTGTAATACACTTTAAAGCCTTAGATGGTCTCACACCTTCATATGTCTTCGACGTGCAGCATTCAAATACTCCCTCATCATTAAGGTCTCCTTCTCAATCTTTTCTGATCACTGTTTAGTTATTTGTTTACTCTTTTTCTTTTTTGTCTAATGCGCTTTAGTTTTAAATGTGCTATGGGAAAAAATTTTTTTTACAGCATTTATTTTAGAAAAATTGCCCAACAATATTTCTATTGTGCAATCCAAGTTCGATAAGTCAGATGTGATTTTTGACATCACACAATGAATATTAAAATCAATGCTAAAAAAAAAAATAGTACATGTAAGTGTTGTTTGTAATGCAGAGGTGAGTGAGCTGACCTGCTGATTTTGACCCATTCAGGTGGAACAATGGATGAAACTGAGTTCTTCACCTCAATCAGAAACTGAGGAGAGAGGAGAAAGAGGAGGAGAACTGATAAATAAGACCAGAGAAGACAGGGAAAATAATGTGTCACTCTTGATTAAAACTGGCAACCAGACACAAAAACACAGACATCAGACCATCACTGTTGCTGAGTCTTCCACCCAAATGGCCATCAATCCTCCCACCTTTCTTTCACTTCCAGCAACACACACACACACACACACACACACACCTCCTGTCCAGAAACGGTCGTATATTCGAGCGCGGGGGCCTTTAGTATCAGACGGATGTCTTTGCGGTGGTCTTGAATCTCACGGAGGACAGTTTGGATTTGCTCCATTCTTTCCTGCAGCACTGGGAATCCAGACAGATCTGAGAATAGCTCCGTCTTGTTCCCTGACCTGCACAAATACACAGTCCAAATGTGACTGTTACTGGTAATATATCGCAGCGCATTTTCTAAGAGATGAGCCTGTGGTCAGCTTGACCTTTCAATAATGAAAACTGAGGAAAAGAATTATCCATGTGACACTAGGAGGCCTTTTCCTCTCTCATACTGTATGCCAACTATTGGTCATACATTTATGGAGTGACAGCAGGCATCTCCCACTGTGCCATATCTTACATTTGTCAGCCCAGTTTTATGATGCTGTGTTGTTTTTCTGATTGCACCGTTGAGAATTCATTTTCTCTTTAACAGATATATATTTTTTGCATTTAAGTAGAATATAATAACCCAACACACATTAAAGCAATCTAAATTATGCTTCTGTCAGTGCCACACCTGTGCTGCTGGATACTTACTTGGCTGCCTTTTCATTGAGCACCTTTAGGAAGCTTTGGGCTGGAATCAGCTGGTCTGGAGTGTCCAACAGAAGGCTTCGAAGTAGCCCTGAGCTGATCTGGGAACGCATGGCTGGTAGCAAAGTCTGCAGTTCCAGCCCCAGGCGAGAAAGATTGCTAGTAATGAGGTAAAATTCCTGAGTAGAAGACTGGAAAGATGTGCAAAAAAAAAAAAAAAACAAGCAAAAACATTACTAAGTATATACCAAAGTGGCTAAAAAACTATTTAAAATTGGTCCTTTGCCAAGTTGTGTTTGTTGCATGGATGCAATATTGGTTTATCACTTGAGTTGGGTGGGTTTTTTTCTATCTTTAGGGGGTTAGGGTTAATAAATATTCTTCATAAAATGGTCAGGTTTAAGGATTGGAATCAAAATGAGTGAAAAAGCAACCCGTGATCAAAGTACAAATTTTAAAAGACCTTCAGAAACTCTGGGGACCTATTACTCAAGACCACTATCAAAAAACCAGCCTGGCTCTTTGGAAGCAAATATAAAGAAACCACTCGTGACTCAAGACTTTTGCACAGTACTGTATATTCATGTTTGTAAGTGTGTTGTATTATCAGGGTACTCTGTAAGGCAGGGAGATTACATCATTAAATCTTATCCGCGCTGGCCAGCAGCCGAGCTTAAAGAATAGTCATATATTACATCCAAAGGCTGTGAGAAAACACCACTCACTACAAGCAGCACCGACTGCACGTCTTCACAACAAAGCATCAAGAAAATAAAACACTACCCTTCAATATGCATCATACTATATTTGCTGTATTACACAATAAAAAAATAGAAATGTAGATACAGGACTTGGCTGGTGCTATTTAGCATCTATTAAGAAGCAAATGATACATTTTATTATCTGTAAACGGCAGCTGTCTTGGGAATCACTGATAATCCACAGTATAGAAAACAAAGCAGCCTATAATCAATAACTTCTTATATTTCTTCAAGATCAGTGTTGCGTCTTTAAAAATAAAAGTGCCAATCATTTCAGACTAAATAGAATTAATGAGTAATCAATCAGTTATAATGTAGATTATACTGACCTTCTATTGCCATTAGCAATGTTACTGTATAGTACCAAGTCTTGACCCTCGGGTTAATGAGAGGTCACAGTGACAGTGGTTTATGGTATTAATCACATGCTGCAGTTTTAATGCTCCTGCCCCCGTGTTGCTCTTTTATGGACCCAAACAGGCAGCTACTAGAGGCCACAGGCATGCCCTCTCTCCCATTATGTCAGTGGAGCCGTGGAGACACAAGCCATTAAACACAGGCCCATTTATCTACAGATGGGCAAAATGACAATTAAGGCCCCTCTGTGTGTCTGCTGCGTGTGTGTGTGTATGCGTGGGTGTTTGAGTGTATGTGTGCGTTAAATGACATTTGATCATTTTCTTTCAGCAACAGATGAAGGAATCCAAAAGCTGAACATGAAACAAGACATCAAGCTCAGAAACAAAGTGTCTTTTTTCATTATTGCAAACACACGCACACACGCACACACACACACACACACAGAAGATGAAGCCTTCTGACATTTCAAAAATGGGTCAGATGGGAAATGAGACTGTGTCAAACAATCAGGTAAGCGCCACACAGGAGGCTGCTCCCTGCTGTTAATCAAGCGTGCCATAAAAAGAGAGAGCGAAACAGAGAAAATGTCAGTGAAAGAAAGAAGAAAATCTTCTTGCCTTTCATTTCTATGCAAACCAACGAGAGGAATTATTTCACAAATGTTGTCCCCCTGCCGTTAGAGCTGGAGGATTATTGCAAAAATTATGATCCGAGTTGTCTTGTTCAGTATAAAGATGATTATTTAACGATGCTAATTTTAAAACTATCATCCATTTATTAAACCCGCCTGTTCTCGTATCTTACAGGATTCGATAACAATGCCACAAAAATTGTGATAAAATATAATAAACATTATCCAAGTTATTTATTTGTGTTCTTTTACCTTTTTGTGATATATGCTGCAGATGCCTCGCTCCAAGTCTGGCAGACGTGACAGCAGGGATCGAATGGAATTTAGAGTCAGCGAGTCCGACTCCAGGATTTCCTGCACTGCATCCTGCCTCTCGGATATAGACCTGCAGTTTCATGAAAGAAAAGGTAAGAAAGAAAGAAAAGACTTGCAGAAATTAAGAAGATAGCAAGGATAAGAAAGAGTTGAAAGAAATGTAAATGTTCTCATCAGGCTCATCATCACCAAAAGAAACGTGTCATTTGGAAAGCTGAATCAGTTCTGATTGAGATAAATGGGTTTCCTTAAAGTTGATTTACACATGAAACAAATAAGCGCCAAAGTGTCCCTGATTAGTTTCTATGTAGATTCACACTTGCGCCTTACGTCTAAAAATGTGTCAAATTTTCAAGAACATTCAAAGCAAACAAAGGTGACCAAATGTTTAAAAGATGAAAGTATTCATAGAAAACGTTAATCCAATACCCAAATCACCAACTTAACACTGACTGCAACCTGTACTACTGCACCAAGAACTGCAGTCGCAGTTCTTTAACGTGTAAAGTCACTTTAAATAACTGAAGACTGAAGAGCGCTCAGCTGAAGACATCTACGTGGCCTAAATAAAATCCCTCGACTGCACAAACCAGCACTCATGAAGGTACAGCTGCTTGTAGCTTCATTTCCCCAGTGACCTTACAAGACCTTTGACCTCTGTAGATGTGGTTGACGCTAAGAAGATTAAGATATGCTTATTAAATTTAAACATTTGGAAAATGAAAAATTCTGCATTTGGGCCAGGTGAACTACTAAAGCTATGGATTTAACGACATGATGAAAATCACTGAAACAGTTTTGTTTATAAAATGCAGAAAAAGCCTCATATTAAAGTCCTCTATGAAATGCTTTTTAGTCCACAGTAAGGCCTTTCTGTAAGCGTAAGCATCCAGAAAAAAATGGACTGAAAAAGCAGATCAAAAGAAGCTTAGTGATGTAATAAATCGGACATCACAGATCACACTATTGTGCGAGTGTGTACGTGCACATGCCCACAAGTGTCTGTTCAATGCGCTGCTGTGCTCTGTATCTTGGAATTAATGTACCTGGGAGTAATCTGGGTTTTATTCATGTTGAAAGTCTCTAGAGGAGCTATCTGTATAATCTGAAAGCAGTGCTCTATCCACAGCAATAATCCCTGCCCAGTGGCAGAGGGAGGGCCACACACAGAGAAAATGTTCACACACTTAAAAACACTACAGAGAACTGGAGAGGTACTGCTGTGTGTCCTCAGCAGTGCTTTTATTTAAGGAAGTCACCTCCAAAACATATTTGTATGTATTTTCACACCACAGTCTCTCTAAAAAGAGAAACAGCTGCTCTGCCATATATCCTCCCAAACAACACTTACATATTTATATGTGAGAGCAGCTATTTTATTCAAAATAAATAAATAAATGAAAATGTGGAGCTGGTTATAATTTTCATCACAGCCGTGAGTCCTGGACTGGGATGCAGGCCGCCAAGCAAACATTAATATTATTAACAAAGGCCTGCCTCACACATCCATTCCACCCTGTGTGTTCACTATGCACCCCAGCTAGGTGAAGGAATTGACCTTTTCTAGGAGCTGTCCTGCTACTGTGATGGGGCTAGTGTGCTTCATCCTAATCCTCATGATCTTTATTTTGCCTTTGTTGACAGTGAGACCTATTCCTGCTGATGTTGATGCCAGGTGTGCAGTTATCGCCTACATCTGGCCAGGTCATCACCCAAGTCGAGATCATCCAGTTGTGCCCACAATGTCCATAAATGCCATTCCATTTTCCTTGCATAGACGTTCTCCACTACATCACCAGAATGAAAAGTACAGCAAAAGGTGAGAGCAGATGCTCCTGACAAACACCGGTCCTGGCACTGAGGTGCTCCAACAGCTGTTCCTTACGTATGAGTCTGGAGGACATTTCCTAGTAAGTGCAACCTATTAACTCTTTTAACTCTATTACCAGCTTTAAAACCTACTGGGAATAACCCTTGGCACTTTTTTCAAAACTATTTTAAAAATAGGGCAGCACTGTTGCCGCACAGCAAGAAGCTCCTGAGTTCAATTCCATCAGGCCGGAGTCTTTCTTACTGGGGTCATGTCTTTCTGCATGTTCTCCCCATGTTTGCATGGGTTCCCTCCGGGTACTCCGGCCTCCTCCCACCGTCCAAAGCAGTTTGCAGGGATAGGTTAATTGATCAATCTAAATTGCAAGTGGGAGTGAATGTGAGCGCGAATGGTTGTCTCTGTGTGTTAGCCCTGCGACAGACTGAAAAGGATAAGCAGAAGCGAATAGATGGATGGATGGATACTTTAAAATATTTCAGGCTTGTTTATAAAACAAAATAAGTGGATGTGCATTAGAAGTTTGAGGGTGGTCTCCGCCCGTGCAGTGACTCTTGGAACCTGGAAACTACTCTAATAGTTGTCAAACCAAATCTTTATTGATATACAATGAAAAAACGCGTCATCAAGCGTACATGGGAGGTTGTTAAATGTCAGGGTAGCATTAATGGGGGAAAGAGCTCAGGAGATTCAAGATTCAAGACCCGTTCGTCACGTGTCATGTAATCCTCAAGAGGAAAATCATATATTTTTGGGGGGGAGATGCAAATGTGCCTGAAAATCTCACATCTATCTCATGTCAGGTAATTAAAACCAAACTTCTGAGATGATTACATACTATTATATATCATTCTTTGTTAAATCCAATAAGGAAATTTACTGCCAGCATTTAACCCATCCTAATATGTGAAACAGTGAGCAGCCTGTGTGCAATGCCCAGGGACCGATTCTAGCTGTAAGCCTGTGTCCTGGCCAGAGACACAGAGACAGAAAAATTAACCCAGCATGTGTCTGATGGCAGGATAAACTGGAGCTACTGGAGGAAACACACAGAACAATTGGAGAAATGTGAAGCCTGTGACCCCTCTTGGTGTGTGGCAACAGTATTAACCACTGAGCCACAGTGCCTGAAAATGATTATCACAGGCATCGTTCTAATATGAGCCAGTTATCACATGTGACATGAAAGTGGCATTAGTGCTGCCTCAGAGTCCTTCACTGTGGTTCTGTGATCCAGAGAGCCTCACAACGCAGACCAAGCTGCATGGAAATAAAGTTTGAAGCACTGAAAAACTAAATGATAAGAACGGACACTGAAGCTGAATCGGTATTGACAATCATCCATCACGTGTCAGAGTGTATTCTATACTCACTGCAGGTCTGTAAGGGGCTGGCTCACCCACTTCCTCATTAGTCTCCTTCCAAACGGAGTGCGAGTGTGGTCCAACACCCACAACAGACTTCCTTTCACACTACCATCTGTCTGTGATGGAAAGAGCACACATAAAAAAGCTTAAATGTACGTTAATGGTTGCCAACATATTCTAAGAAAAAAAAAATAGTAAGGAGAAGGAAATATGAGGTGAACAAATGGTGTAAGCCACTAGCAGACATGGTAGGAGGCTTGAGCTGATCTTGAACTCCATATGTGACACGTGACGCAAATGCCGTAGCAGCAGAGTCATGCTGAACCTTTGAGTCGTCACCCACACACAAGTAAACCGAACGAGACTTTTTTTTAATGGCAGAAATGTCAGTTTAACTTAACTATCCATTCATTTTTTTTACAGTTTGTGTAACTATAACTGACTGTAGATCTTTAAATTTCTAACAACAATCTCAATAGCCTTAAAAAGATTTTTCCGTCGTTAAATCTGGGAGGTATCAACACACCTGCCAGATGACCATGTGCAGCTGTGATTAAAGCTCAGAGTAACAAAAAGGTTGATTCAAGTAAAGCAACACAGAAGAGCTAACTCTTCAGACCAGGACTCCACAGTCTATTTACACCTACAGGCCAGTGGACACTCTTTCAATGATGAGGATGTACACATCCTGGACAGGGAGGAACGCTGGTTTGAGTTCTTATATCAACTTCCACTTGCAGTTACACCTTGGATCTCAAACTTGAGTGAACAGCAAAGATCCGTTTATTTTTTTCTTTTTTGTTGTTTTTGTGT